GATCTGGCATTTTAAGAACGGATTCGTTGTAGGTGTATTTGTGCGACGGGATTTTTTTTTTATTTCTCGATGTAACTCAACAGAAATATCTTCCTCTGACTGGCTAATCTGTGAAATCGTTTCGTAACCGAGTCTTCGGCATTGCTTTTTCGTAACCAATGGTAGCGTTTCTCCTATCGGCTGTGGCGGTTTTGTGGCGTTTCTATAGGCGATGTATCGAACGGTTTTAAAGACGAAAAAATCTTCCTCGGAAACGATGCCCAATAATGAGGCTCCTGATGAATTTCTCTTCCACGAGGAGCGGCTCGTTTCGCGTTTGTTGTCGTTATGGTCGTCGTGGTGACTAAAGTGTTAAAAGTGAACTATATGCAAATGAGCTGGCGGTAGGGAGGGGTCACGACCTCTCGGTAGGAATCTAGTTTTCTGTGCTTGAAGTTGTCGTCCGTGAATAATCGCAGCGATTGATGATGAGCGCTAGATTTACCGAACAAAGGCTCTGAAACCGAACGTTTAGTTTCGCTGTTAGAAACAGTGCCACGTCCCACGAGGTCGACACAAACAATCATTCTCTTAGAATTACACATATTAACTTAAATGCTTAAATCTAGACACATTTACTATGAAAGAAAAATGACTTGATTTTGGTATGTCAGAAAATAATGCTTAAAATCTTAAGTGAGATTATAATTGAAACAAGAACAATTATAAAACCAACTTAATTCAAAGGAAAACTAGTTAATTTTTCATTCCCTATTGGCAGATATTTTTCTTGTTTTATGCATAAAATCACTCAATTTTGATGCAGTTTTCAGAAAATAGGGCTCCAAATGTTAAGTGAGTTCATGCTTAAAACAAGAAAAAATAAGATCAAACTCTTAATTTTGATACTTTTTATTTTATTTTTTATAAAATGAGACTTAAAATCTTAATCTTCCCTATTGGCAGATATTTTTCTTGTTTTAAGCATAAAATCACTTAATTTTGATATTTTGAAAGAAAAAAAAAAGATACAGTTTATGAAGTTTATGCTTACAACAAGAAGAAACAAGCATAAACTCACTTAATTTTATGCATTTTTCAAAAAATAAGACTAAAGTTTAAAACAAGAACACGTGTGTGTCCGCAGGGTTAGAAAATAAACCTAATTCAAAAACATAAACAAAAACAATTTTTTTTTTTTTACTCCTTGTTTTATGCATAAACTCACTTAATTTTGATGCAGTTTTCAGAAAATAGGGCTCCAAATGTTAAGTGAGTTCATGCTTAAAACAAGAAAAAATAAGGTCAAACTCTTAATTTTGATAACTTTTTTTTTAAATAAAATGATAATCTTTAGTGAGTTTATGTTTAAAATGAGACAAAAATCAGCCATAGGGGTCAGAAAAATGATCTTGTTTTTCCTATGAATTAAGTTGATTTTTCTGACTCCATTGGCAGATTTTTTTTCTTGTTTTTAGCATAAACTCACTCACTTTTGAAAGCATTTTTCAGAAAACCTACCCTTAAAACTTAAAACCTTATTTTAAGCATAAACCTAATTGCTACTTTTACAATTTTTATTGATTTCATAGTTAAGAACAAGAAAAAAGTCAGAAAAATCATCTTGTTTTTCCATTGAATGTTTATTTCTCTGACTTTAATTGTTTTAATCAAACTTGCTCCATTTTCATCATTTTTCAGACTTAATATCTGAATTAATTTTGCATCTCAAGTACACTCTTAAAAATAAAGGCGCTTAAAAGCTTCTTCACAGCGATGCCACAGAAGAAGCATTCAGTCAAAGGTTCTTTAAAGAACATCTCTTTCTTACCTTTTAATAATCTGAAGAACCTTCTTTCGCCACAAAGCAGCTTTCGTGAAACAGAAAGGTTCTTCAGATGTTAAAGGTTCTTTATGAAACCATATGTGACCCCGGAGCACAAAACCAGTCATAAGGGTCAATTTTGTGAAATAGAGATTTATGCATCACATGAAAGCTGAATAAATAAGCTTCCATTGACGTATGGTTTGTTAGGATAGGACAATATTTGAAAATCTGGAATCTGAGGGTGCAAAAAAATCTAAATATTGAGAAAATCATCTTTAAAGTTGTTCAAATGAAGTTCTTAGCAATGCATATTACTAATCAAAAATTAAGTTTTGATATATTTACGGTAGGAGATTTACAAAATATCTTCATGGAACATGATCTTTACTTAATATCCTAATGATTTTTGGCATAAAAGAGAAATGTATAATTTTGACCCATACAATGTATTGTTGGCTATTGCTACAAATATACCCCAGCGACTTAACACTGCTTTTGTGCTGCAGGGACACAATTAGACAAAAAAAGGTTCTTCTATGGCATCGTGAAGCACCTTTATTTTTATAGAGTGTAATGCATGTTGATTTAAGGATGTTTAGACATTTGCCTGGAAAACAAGACAAGAATACAGAGGAAGAGCATTTTTTGCAGTGCAATCTTGCCAAACCGCACACATACACACGTGTCTGAATCTCTTTAAAGTCATTCAACCTGTTGCCGGGCAAATCCTGAACTTCCTTCGAGTCGCCGACTTTGTCCTACTTCTCCCGCAAACTCTCCGACTCCCACATTATCTGGACTTGTGTTCGCTCTCGTCACACGGCCCGATGTGCTTCTGCTCGCTCGCTCTCCCGGGCCTCGTGGGATGCGCATTAAAACGTTTCCTTTCAGGTTGAAGGAAAAAAACGAGTCTAGGATCTTCACAAGAGTTGATTTCTGGTCTAAGAAAGAGACCTTTTTCAGTCATCAGCTCTTCATCCTGCTGCTAAACGGATGGGTTTCAGTGACTCTTCCTCGACTCTGATCAATAACACGAGGAAAGAGCACTGTTTATGTTCTCTAGAGGTGAAATAACATGCTTTTAGACGCACTTCAGCTTCTTAATATTCTCGAATCGAGCTTTTTCGCCCCCCTCTTTCGTGACTCGGTCAGAAATGTGTCAAGCTGGATTTTTTGGTCTAAAAAAAGAAAATGAGTTCTGTTGTTTTTCTGTATGGGGTGTAAGATATCATAGCTCTTCGTATGAGAAGTATAGATACCGTGGAAGTCCATTTAATTGTAAGTATTTATCAACTAAGTTATTGTACTTTTGCAATCTGTAGATAAGTAATATAATGTATTGGTATATAAATATCAGTCAGTCGGGCGTCTTTAATTTATTGATGTATATACTGTATGTTTGTTGATATACAGCTTACTTTATTTTGTATATGACTAATAAACACATTTTGAAAAACAGCTGGTTTGTGGGTTTTATGTCTGACGAGTGTGGCATTAATGACCTAATTTAACACGCACAAGAAATATTCCTGAATTGAAGCCGTTTTTTTTTTTTTTTAGGTGTGCCGTGAATAGCATTGCCACATTTTATTTTATTTATTTATTTATTTTTTCACGGACCCCGAGCGAGCGAGAGACAGACCGAAAGGTAGCAGATGACCTAGTTTGAAGCAGCTCTCGGCGGTGTATTTTTGGCCTGACATTAGTAAAACATGAGCGAGTCTTGAGGGACGTCTGGAGCCGGATCCGTGTTTCTGAGCCTCACTCACTCGTCTTCATCTTCATCTTCATCAGGGTCTGCAAACACACTGGAGACTCTTTCCTGATCTCTTCAGTTCCTGCAAATATACTGCTGTGCACAAAACTAACAATATATATTTAAATGTTTATTTACAGTTATTGCAATTATTATTTCTTTTATATGTATTTATATACATTTCCATATATATATATATATACACTAGCGTTCAAAAGTTTGGGATCAGTAAGACTTGTAATGTTTTTAAAGAAGTCTCTTCTGCTCATCAAGGCTTGATTAAAAATACAGAAAAATACAGTAATCTTGTAAAATGTTATTATGATATAAAATAATGGTTTCTGTTTTAATATCCTTTAAAATATAATTTATTTCTGTGATGCAAAGCTGAATTTCCATCATCATTACTCCAGTATAAAGTGTCACATGATCTTCAGAAATCATTATAATATGCTGATTTATTATTAGAATTATCAACAGTTGTGCTGCACAATAAAAATTGTTCTTTCAGTTTAGGATGTGCAGAAATACATTATGTCGCTACATTTAGTTTATTATATTTCTGACTGATTTTAAATCAAGCATTATAATAACATCTGAATCGTGGCTGCTGGTTGGTTAGTATTAGATTGTTTAATTATTATTTATTTAGTTTTAACTGTGAATAACTTTACATTATTTATTTGAAATCTGTTTTCAGAAAATGTTCTTAATTTTTGTCATATTTTAGTTTTTTATTTTAGAGCTTATTTTTTATTTTATGGTTAATAAGGGTGTGTGTGTAATATATATATATATATATTTATTTATATATATATAATGGTTTATGTATGCTGCTTTTTATTAAAGCTTCAATCTAAGGAAAACATATAAAAATTTTGGTAATATTTACTTTCATATAAATGTAATTTCTATTTTTTAAATAATCTGAATTAAATCTTTAAAAGGATGAAATCTTTTCCTCAAATTGTTTGTGAAACGACAGAATTATAAATGAGATCACAATTCTATAAAATGGGTTTACAGAGTTTGCTCATTTCGTACGATCTGAGACACACTGATTTAAACAGACTGTTGTATATCAATAATAATAAGTGCTGATGATGATTATAATAATCAGTGATTATCAGAGCTCCTGTAATACCGGCATCATCCGCTCATCCGGGTCTCTAGGGGGCGCTAGAGAGACTTTCCCGCTAACATCAGCGTTTGAATGTCGCGCGTCAGGACGTTCAGTAAGTGAGGTTAAAATAAATGTGTTTTACTGACGAACTAAACAGATCTGTCATAGAATTATATCTGAATATGTATTCGAATATTGTAGTTATACGTTGAAGCGTTGTTGAGATTTAAACAGACCTGCTGCTTTGGTGAGTCCGGATCCGAATGCTGAGGAACTCCAGTCCGTTTTTAACGGTCGTTTTCGTGAGCGGAAGCGGAAGCGCTCGAGTGTAAACAAACTCTGACACAACGCTGAGGAAGATTTCACTTCACACACACACAGGTAAAATGCTTAGAAATATGATTTATCTTTAATACTTCTGCTTTACTCTGTTAGAAACTTTAATAAAGTTATTTGGTGAGGCGCGTGTTCAGTTCTCAGCAGATTTTAACAAAGAACCAATATATATGTGACGCTAAGATCTTCATTTGGACAACTTTAAAGGCGATTTTCTCAATGTTTCGATTTTTTTAGCACCCTCAGATTCCAGATTTTCAAATAGTTGTATAAGTTGTGTCTTATTCAGCTTTCAGATGATGTATAAATCTCAATTTCTTATCTGACAGGAGTCTGATATCGTGACATGTCAGTTTAATGTCGTGATTTCTGTCAGTATCGTGTGTTTTGTGAGCGTAATCTCATCAGCTGTGTTTCAGTGCTATGGAGAGTTATGAAGATTTCATCCGGAGACATTATAACACCGTCACACCTTCAGCGATGATCGTGTTTCATGCAGCTCGAGTTCTTCCTCCTCTGGTATGAGAATCATCATCATCATCATCATCATAGCCTCTCATTATACATGCACACATATGTTAATGAGCATCTCAGAATGAGCAGCAGAGAGATTAGATGAGAGGACTGAGAGAAACAGCTTGAGTCTGATGAAGAGGAGGAGAGAGGAAGAGTCTCGCGTCAGACTGAAGCATCATACATTCTTTATCATAGACATGACCTGATAGTGTATGTGTATATAAAAGTTTGGGTTCAGAATGATTTTTAATGTTTTTACAGGAGTCTCTTCTGCTCATCAGGGCTGCATTTATTTGATCAAAAATACAGGAAAAAATTTAATATTGTGAAATATTATTATGGTGTAAAATAACATTTTTCTATTTTAATATACATTAAGCTGTAATTTATTTCTGTGATGCGCAGCTGTATTTTTCATGTGACACTTTATACTGGAGTAATGATGCTGAAAATACAGCTGCACATCACAGAAATAAATTATATTTTAACAGATATTCACATAGAAACCATTATTTTATATTGTAATAACATTTTGCAAGATTACAGTTTTTTTCTGTATTTTTTTATCAAATAAACACAGCCTTGATGTGCAGAAGAGACTTCTTTAAAAACATTACAAGTCTTACTGATCCCAAACTTTTGATACTTTCCAGAAGGCCAACAATTCACTAAAAATGTTTTTTTTATTGGTCTTATGAAGTATTCTAATTTGTTGAGATAGTGAATTGGTGGGTTTTTGTTAAATGTGAGCCAAAATCATCACAATTAAAAGAACCAAAGACATAAACTACTTCAGTCTGTGTGCATTGAATTTATTTAATACACAAGTTTCACAATTTGAGTTGAATTACTGAAATAAATTAACTTTTCCACGACATTCTAATTTATTGAGATGCACCTGTATATATATAACTTGCTCCACCTCCGCTGTTGTCATTAATCCCTCTGATTTATCAATAACCTTCATATAGAGACTCTTTACACCATCCAAAATTAATAAATCCCAGCATGGCCTGCAAAAAATGATGCTCATCCTCAGTACTTTTGTCTTGTTTTCCAGTACAAATATTTAAACATCCTTAAATCGAGATACATTTACTGGAGAAGCAAAATGATTTAAGATTAGAATTCTTGTTTTCTGAGAAACTGATAAAAATGAAGTGAGTTTTTACTTAAAAAAAGAATAAATGTCACCCAGTGGGGTCAGAAAAATAAACTTGTTTTTTCTTTGAAATGAGTTTGTTTTTCTGAACCCTTTGGGTGATATTTGTTCTGGTTTTAAAGACGTAATTGTGACTTTTGATAAAAATTCACAATTCAGACTTTTTCTAGCAGTTCTGACTTAACATCTCACAATTCTGTTTATATTATATATATATATATATATATATAAATATATTTGAATAAAAAATATAGAAGGTGATTGTGACTTTTTAACTTAAGTTTATATATTAAATTCTCAGAATTGTGAGAAAATTCCTAATTGTGAGACACAAACTTAAAATTGTGAGGGGAAAAATGTGAGATAAAAAGTTGCAATTAACTTTTTTATTATTATTTTTTTTAAATTCTGTGTCGGAAATAAGCTTCCATATAGATGTATGATTTTCAAAGAAAAAAATACTTTTGAATATCCCGTTTCACTGAAATATGTCAATAAAATAGAATAAAATGGATTGTGACCAGCCTTTGATAGTTTGACTTTAATGTACAGTAGTAATTACAATAGCAATCTTAGTACAGCGCAACATCGATGCACCGAAAAACAATCAAGAATTAATTTACAGAATTAAATTAGAACAGAATGTACATTTATAATAAATAAAAAAAAATGCAGAACAATATATATGCGGAACATATAATCAAAACACAAGCCACAAATACTTGAATGAGATAACCCTGAGTGATCAATAAATAAAATAAAAAGTAGCCAGAATTGTCAACTTTGTCTTTTTAACTGCTGAGACACAATAAATGCTAAACTGGAGTGGCAGTCTTTACATGTTCACAGCATCCAAAACTCAAATGAGAATGTTTTGAAATCACCTGATCGAGAAAACATCCAGTCTTTCACTCTGTCCCTTTGAGTCTTTTCAAATTGTGTGCGAGGAAAACCAACTTGTTAACGCTGACCAGCAGAAGTGCGCTCCTGGTTTCAAGATTAAATCCCTGCCGCCAAGATGCGCTTCTGTCGGTCACGGATCATGCAAAGTGAAACTTTTGGATTCATTTACGCACGTAGAAAATATTTATTAAAGTTTTTTTATTTTATTTTTTTTTATTTACAGCATTATCATAACAGGCTTTATATTAACTTATTGGGAGAAACCGGTAGATCTATATGAAATCAGACATTGAGCACCCCCATGTAGCCAAAATGGCATAATCATAACTCCTCAGCGAATATTCAACTGTGAGATTGGTAGTTGAATGAGGCTTGTCCTATCGAAGCATTGAATCTTTGACTGTTCGCGGTCACCCCTAATATATACGTGACCCTGCAGCACAAAAGCAGTCTTAAGTCGCTAAACTCAGAATTATGAGATATAAACTCAGACTTATGAGATATGTACTCAGAATTATGAGATATAAACTCTGAATTATGAGATATAAACTCAGAATTGTGATATATACTCAGAATTATGAGATATAAACTGAATTATGAGATATAAACTCAGAATTATGAGATATAAACTCAGAATTATGAGATATAAACTCAGAATTATGAGATATAAACAGACTTATGAGATATAAACTCAGACTTATGAGAAACTCAGAATTGCAAGATATAAATGCAGAATTGTGAATTAAAAAGTCACAATTACCTTTATTTTTATTATTCCGTGATCAAAACAAGCTTCCATACAAAGCAGCTTCACAGTAATAAAGAGTACAGTAATAACCGTTAATGCTGTGAAATTCATCAGAATGGTAAGAACAGCTGATTGTGATAGATCACATCTCTAAATGACTCGTTAGACTCGTGTTTGACGGTTGTTCTGTCCCGAGTCTCTCGCTGGCCGATGGCAGACACCACAGATCAGACCTGAAATCACCCAGAGGATTGTGGGAATGTTTTCTTTCATTTCTAGCTGCCGCTGAGAGCGTCCTTACGTGTTTCTCCTTCAGGTCCTGTAGCGGCTCGTGTCCTGACGCCATTAATTACAGCCTTTAATGAACACCCAGTGTTTTTATATTAACGAGCGTCTGTGTGTCCGCTGTGGGAAGCGACACAGAAAATGAGGATAATTGTGTTTAACACCTGTCTGTCTCTCTGCCGTCTGTGATTCGATTCTTGCTCTTATTTCATCCAGACTCTCTCTCTCTGTCCTGCTTTCACTTGTATTCTCTCGCTCTCTCGTTTTAAACTGTTTTATTGGCATGGCTGGATTCTTTCTGTTGCCAAAGAAATAAAAACTGAATCACAGAAGCTGAACTCAACGACACTACTGGTTACAATATGGGAAGAATGAATGTTTTTAAAAAAAAGTATCTTCTGCTCAGCAAGGCTGTGTTTATTTGATTAAAAATACAGTAAAAATTATGAAATATGTCTTTATTGTCACTTTTGAGAAACTGATTGTGTCCTTGCTGAATAAATGCATTCATTTCTTGTTTTTGTAAGTCTTAAAACTGTTTTCAACATTGATAATAATCAGAAATGTTTCTTGAGCAGCAAATCAGCATATTAGAATGATTTCTGAAGATCATGTGACACTGAAGACTGGAGTAATGATGCTGAAAATACAGAGCAATAAATCACAGTTTAACAGATATTCACATAGAAACAGCTGTTTTACATTGCAACAATATTTCACTATATGTACTGTATTTTTGCTCAATTAAATGCAGCCTTGGTGAGCAGAAGAGACGTATTTCAGAAACATTCCAAATCTGAACACGTTGCTGATACTGCAGCCTCATTTGTTAGTGCACTGGTTGTATTATTGTTGATGGATTGATATGTTTGTAATGCTGTCTCTCTCTCTGTCAGTCGTTAGCGGAGCGTGTCCTTCCCGTGGCTCACGTCTGGAGGACACACTGACCTCCATCTGTCTGCACACACAACACCTCACGGGTAACACACACACTGCTATTCCTATCGTCATGGGTTCATTCCATAGACATAATGGTTTTTTCTATCCCCTTCTGCTAAACCTACCCCTCACAAAACCTACAGGCATTTTTAGATTCTCTAAACACTTCATACTGCATGATTTATAAGCTTGTTTCCTCATGGGGACCTAAAAAATGTCCCCACAAAGTCAAAATGTACTGGTATTACTATACCTGCAGCCAATGAGTGATCCTCTGCTGCCATCTCCTGGTTATAACGGTAATTGCATTTTCATCTTAAAAAGTCTTTATTTTTATACAAATACCTAGAAGCCATATTACATTTTTACCATGGTATTGAGGTGCTATATTTGTGGTTTTATCTGTGATTATCATGATCTAAATGTATGCTGTGGAAGACCAATGGTTTAAAAAAACACCTCAATCAGTCAGAATAATTCAATTTCACCATATAAAAATGAGATTGCTACAATTTTTACAGATATTACTGATAATGAACATAAATCTACATCTGCATCCTAACTCAAGCTACTATCAAATGTGTATTTCTAAGAGAATGTTATATTATTATTAATATTATCAGGCAACACAAACCTGTTTCTTGATTTGAAACAATATTACTCATTACTAGAACATGCAGAACTAAGAAATTTTTTTTTTCTATTAAGATATTTATTTTTTTTAGGAAAAATGACTGTAAAAGTGTAAAGAATTCAAAAATGTGAAGTGTTTATCATGTTCTGACCGTAAAGAATAGTTTAAAACCACAATTAACCGTCTGTTTTATACAACTTTCACATTGAAGCAAAAATCTGGCTTTAAACTGGAAAGAAATAACAATTTGACATTTACCGTGATAATTATCGATATCGACTGATATGGAAAAAAAAAATATCGTGATAATTTTTTGGCCATATCGCCCAGCCCTAACTTTAGTTAACATGAACTAAGAATGAACAACACTTCTACAGCATTAATTAATCTTAGTTCATGTTAATTTCAACATTTACTAATGCATTATTAAAATCAACAGTTGTGCTTGTTAACATTAGTTAATGCACTCTGAATTAACATGAACTAACAATAAATGAATATTTTCATTAACATTTCTCATTTTCACACACACACCCACACTCTCACTCACACACACACACCCACACTCTCTCTCTCTCAC